TAACTTGTGAGAGTTTAGTCCACTAGGTTGTTGCTTGGAGCGGCCCGCAGGCCCACATACCCACCACAGCCCGGTTGGTGCGGCACTCCTTGGAGGAATAAATCTAGTTTCCTCTTGAAAATGTCCACGGTTGTTCCGGCAATATTTCTTATACTCGCTGGGAGGGTGTTGAACAACCGCGGACCTCTGATGTTTATACAGTGTTCTCTGATTGTGCCTGTGGCACCTCTGCTCTTCACTGGTTCTATTCTACATTTTCTTCCATATCGTTCACTCCAGTACGTTGTTATTTTACTGTGTAGATTTGGTACTTGGCCCTCCAGTATCTTCCAGGTGTATATTATTTGATATCTCTCTCGTCTTCTTTCCAGTGAGTACATTTGGAGGGCTTTGAGACGATCCCAATAATTTAGGTGCTTTATTGCGTCTATGCGTGCCGTATATGTTCTCTGTATTCCCTCTATTTCAACAATCTCTCCTGCTCTGAAGGGGGAAGTGAGTACTGAGCAGTACTCAAGACGGGACAACACAAGTGACTTGAAGAGTACAACCATTGTGATGGGATCCCTGGATTTGAAAGTTCTCGTAATCCATCCTATCATTTTTCTGGCTGTCGCATAGCACGGGCTATGGTGAGCCCGTAGTGGACTTACCTGGCACAGGAGCGGTGCCTGTGTGTGTGTGTATATGCCCTCGGTAAGCTCCGTCTACCAGGAGGCTATCTCCCTACCCTACCTAAAAACTGAGGCTTGTTTGATGGAAACACCCAGCCAACCAACCGGCTGCAATTATCAGCTTAGCAGAAAGCAAGGTCACTTCACACGACCTGACCCCCTACTCAATTTGTGAATATTACCTCTTGAGAGGTGTGACTTTATAATTGCTCAGGGTCGACTGTCTGGCTCCACCAATATATTGTGTGACTTGACTCTCGTTGTATGTAAAATATTAGACAAAACAATTTATGGTGTTACGGTGTGAAGTTCATTGTTTTCTATAAAACTGGAAATTTGATTCCTAATCACTCTTTCAAAAACCTTTATTATGTGTGATGTTTATGCAACTAGTCTATAATTCTTCAACACCCTCAACAGGTGCAGGTAGCATTTCTTCACGGGGTCTGCCTATAATCTTGCCACTCACTTACTGAATGGGGTGAGAATAGCTTGAGCTACCTCATCCCTTTGTGTGTATTTTACCTCAATAAACTTATTTCAATTTCAATTTCAATTTCAAGTCTATAATGTTTTGTTCGAGCTTTACTGCCTCCCGTGTGCAGAGAAGCTATGTCTGCAGATTTAAGTGCTGCTCGTATCTCCCCTGTATCCAGGCTCTTTCTCCATATTACACTGAACGCTCACACTACATTTCCTTATGAATATAGAATTCCATGACTCAGGCCCAGGGGCTCAGTACAATAAGGAGAGGGAGAGAAGGGAAAGTCATTGTCGTCACTGAAGGGAGGTGGGGGGGAAGGAGGCTGTGGACCAGCTTGAGCTACAAAGGCTGCTGACTACCTTCACTTTTGTCATGTTGACAAATGATATGCAAATAAGACTAAGAAAAAATGTAATACAATTTATATAACAGCAGTTTACAATGCTTTAAATCCTCAAGAAGAAGGTCACTGTGGACATTAGTGCACAGCTTGGCTTTTCAACTTTGCAGGTAGGAAGACCTACATTTTTCAATTCCTACAGGTAACAAATTTGCATAGCTACATCATTATTTATTTATTTATTTATCTATTTATTTATTTATTTATATACAAGAAGGTACATTGGGATTGTGAGGATACACAGCATAGTACTTACATTCTTGTAAAGCCACTAGTACGCGCAGCGTTTCGGGTAGAAACGCAACCAAGATTATGGTCGATGTGAGAATAAGCCCCCCAAAAAAAACTGTCTGGTGGCAGGTGTGTTAGGCTGGCTGAGACCCTTGTGATTATTCGTGGCAGTAGCGAGGATTAAGATCAAGAGGAAGATGAAGACGTGGAGAAGAAACAGGGTTACACACAGTTTCACACTTTTCCAGGAAGGCAAGACAAATATTTTGTAAGATCACTGGCAATACTGTACATCTTGTTTGTTAACACAGGTACATGTTTGTTTATGAAAGTATCCCCTAGGTTGCAAACTATGCAATCCCTATGGTTGCATCGTTTGTCAAGAGTGGTGCTAAATTGGTTCTCATCTCGCAGGATGGATAGTCATCCAAAGGTATGCGATCAGGAGAAAACATTGAATGTATTAAGAGGGTATTCTCAAGAACACTGGAGGTCACATCTGCCTTGAACACCATTATTTTGTCCAGGTCATCATTCGCTGGGCAGCATGTTCTCTCGCTTTATCACTCCGTATAAAATGCAACCGTTTTCCATAACCAGAAACGTACAAACCCAGACGGCCCCACCTTCTACAATATATTCAAATTCAAATAAGTTTATTGAGAAATAAATACACACAATGGGATGAGGTAGCTTAAACTATTCTCACCCCGTTCAGTGCAACGTGTTCATATATATATATATATATATATATATATATATATATATATATATATATATATATATATATATATATATATATATATATATATATATATATATATATATATATATATATATATATATATATATATATATATATATATATATATATATATAATATAATATATATATAATATTATACACACATCACAAACAATAAGCATATTACCGAAACATATCTACACATAAGTGGCGTAACTTACCGACCCCTCCAAAAGATATCAGATTAACCAGGCAGTGATTCATATGTCAGGCTGCGAGCAGCCGCGTCCAACAGGCTGATTAACCAGACCACCAACCAGAGGCCCTGGTCAGAGTCCGGACCGCGGGGACGTTGATCCTTAATCACCCTAAGGTAGCCACTGTTGAATAGAATTATAAAGCGTTTTTTTTTATTTTATTTTATTTTATTGACAGACTGTTTAACGTCAGCCATTACAATCAAAACATTAACGCAGACGCGGTATTGAATCAACGAACTCAATAGTGATGGTTGCAGCCTTACGGTTATCTTGAGATGATTTCGGGGCTTTTTAGTGTCCCCGCGGCCCGGTCCTCGACCAGGCCTCCACCCCCAGGAAGCAGCCCGTGACATCTGACAACACGGTGAACATTGTATAGAAATACTATTTATAGTCCCCCTTTTAAAGTCAGTCATCAACATTAAGTACTGGGACTGCCTCAAAGTGCTAAAGCTGTACTCCCATGAACAGTGTTGAGAGGGAACTCATAATATGTACATGGAAAATACTGGGACCAGATTCACGAAAGCACTTACGCAAGTACTTACGAACGAGTACATCTTTCCTCAATCTTTGACGGCTTTGGTTGCATTTATTAAACAGTTTACAAACATGAAAACTTCCCATTCAACTGTTGTTATTGTTATAAACAGCCTCCTGGTGCTTCGGAGCTCATTAACTGTTTAATAATTGTAAACACAGCCGCCAAAGATTGAGAAAAGATGCATAGGTTCGTAAGTGCTTGCGTAAGTGCTTTCGTGAATCTGGCCCCTGGAGAGGCAGATTGGAAACATTCAAATAACCTCATAGCACAAGGGAAGGCGGGGCCCAGACCGAGCTTGCAAAAGTAAATGAAAAAAGTAAATTCCGAAATCAACTTCCCTCTTGAGAGCAGGAGAGGTGTGTGAAATAGAAGGAATACAGAGAACATATATGACACGCAGACACGATAAACCATCTAAATTATTGTGATTGTCTCAAAGCTCTAAAAATATACTACTCTCTGAAAAGGTGACGAGAGAGTCACTCATAATATTTACATGGAAGGTACTGGAGGGCCAGGTCCCAAATTTGTGCAGTAAAATAACATATTGGAGTGAGCGGTATGGGAGGAAGGGCAGAACAGAGCCAGTGAAGAGTATCAGCAACATGCGAATTGTCAGAGAACACTGAACATCGGAGGACCATGGCTGTTCAACATCCTACCAGCAAGTATAATATTGCTAGAACAAAAGTGGACTTCAAGGAACAAAAAAAAAAAAAAAATTAGACAGTTACCAGCAGGATGTGCCGGATCAACTGGGTTGTAGTGCATACACGAGTTCAACAAGTGCAGTTGGTTCTGCAACAGTTCTTCAACACCCTCAACAGGTGCAGGTAGCATTTCTTCACGGGGTCTGCCTATAATCTTGCCAGGAATGAAGGGGGGGGGGGAGGGGGGAGAGCCAACACCCAACGCTGGATGTTGGATCCCGGGAACCAACACACAACGTTGGATGTTGGATCCCGGGAACCAACACACAACGTTGGATGTTGGATCCCGGGAACCAACACACAACGTTGGATGTTGGATCCCGGGAACCAACACACAACGTTGTATAGGCGTCTGTGACACACATCTTAGTATCTGAATCGGTTTTTAATAGGTCTTTTTCTCTCTCTCTCGCTCATTTTTGTTCTAGGTATTATTTTTTCATTCGGTCTTCCTTAGTTTCATTTCTTAGGTTAGTGAATTGTTAGAGAGATTGCAGTTTTGCAGCCTCAAGGTTCTGTTTTTTTAAGTGTTAAAATTGATTTATAGGGATTAATGCCTACCAGGGGTTGAATATATTTACATGTGGTAGCTAGGATGTGTACCTGTGGTACCTAGGGTGAAGTGGTAGGAGTCTGTCCTTTCTTGTGGCAGCTCTCGATCCTTATTCATTAACACTAGATTTTATTTTCAAGTTTTGTATAGCTTCTGGCAGTTATTAATCTAGTTTAAAATGACGTGCAGTAAATAGGGCTTTAATCTAGGCAAAGGCTATTCTGGAGCGCTCAGACTGCTAGTTGAGTGTGTTGACCTCAACAAGATTCCCCATACATTGCTTGGAGACTAGCCGTATCAATCACATTATCCTCGAATTGTTTCATCAGAATTACGTAGGTAATGGAAGTAAATACAGTACAATGTCATGGGTTCCTGCCTGAAATACAGACAGATTCTTTTAAGAGTGTGGCCGCGAGGGCGTCGTGGTGTGGCCGTTGAGGGCGTCGTGGTGTGGCCGTTGAGGGCGTCGTGGTGTGGCCGTGAGGCGTCGTGGTGTGGACGTTGAGGGCGTCGTGGTGTGGCCGTTGAGGGCGTCGTGGTGTGGCCGTTGAGGGCGTCGTGGTGTGGCCGTTGAGGGCGTCGTGGTGTGGCCGTTGAGGGCGTCGTGGTGTGGCCGTTGAGGGCGTCGTGGTGTGGCCGTTGAGGGCGTCGTGGTGTGGCCGTTGAGGGCGTCGTGGTGTGGCCGTTGAGGGCGTCGTGGTGTGGCCGTTGAGGGCGTCGTGGTGTGGCCGTTGAGGGCGTCGTGGTGTGGCCGTGAGGCGTCGTGGTGTGGCCGTTGAGGGCGTCGTGGTGTGGCCGCGAGGGCGTCGTGGTGTGGCCGCGAGGGCGTCGTGGTGTGGCCGTTGAGGGCGTCGTGGTGTGGCCGTTGAGGGCGTCGTGGTGTGGCCGTTGAGGGCGTCGTGGTGTGGTATATAGGTTGTTTTACAAACTGTTTTGAGACGTGACTGGTCGAGTGTCAACTCCTTGAAGAAGTATTGGTCTACAGCGAGGGACTTGGGCTAGGCGTCGTGCCTAGTCCAGGGCCGGTATAGAAGCTACTTTCCTCGTTGGTAGCCTATCCGACAGCTGCCGGTAGCTTGGTGGTGATAGGGGTCAGGGGTTGAGGTAAGGGTCAGGCGAGGAGGTGGAACGGGGGGGGGGAGAAAAATTTGCATCACGCTTCGGGTAATTGATTATTGCAATTGACTATTGCAGCTGCAAGCACCAACTCTCCGGACTGGTGACAAAATTAATGCTTCGACTTTGACAGCAAAATTAAGCTTAAATTTACTAGCCTAGTCAGGGATAGGCAGCCAATCGAAAGAAAGGGATGAGAGAGAGAGAGAGAGAGAGAGAGAGAGAGAGAGAGAGAGAGAGAGAGAGAGAGAGAGAGAGAGAGAGAGAGAGAGATAGATAGATAGATATAATAGACATAAATATAACATTTGTGTGATTTCACTGTGATCTAAATACAATAATTCAAATTAATTGTATAATATCGAATTATAATCATGCTTAATTTGCTTAATTCAGTGATTCAATTTCGCTTTAATAAGGAATGGTTGTATATCAACATACTGGAGTGAACGATATGGAAGAAAATGCAGAATAGAACCAGTGAAGAGCAGAGGTGCCATAGGCACAATCAGAGAACACTGTATAAACATCAGAGGTCCACGGTTGTTCAACGTCCTCCCAGCGAGTATAAGAAATATTGCCGGAACAACCGTGGACATCTTCAAGAGAAAACTAGATCATTTTCTCGAAGGAGTGCCGGACCAACCGGGCTGTGGTGGGTATGTGGGCCTGCGGGCCGCTGCATACAACAGCCTGGTGGACCAAGCTCTCACAGGTCAAGCCTGGCCTCGGGCCGGGCTTAGGGAGTAGGAGAACTCCCAGAATCCCATCAAGCAGGTATCAACCCGAGTCGAAGGGCATCTTGGGAATTGTGTAAAAACAAAAAATACAATTTTTCGGTCAAAGGCTGTTTTTGCTATTGTTTTTGTCGGCTTGGTGCCTCCTTTTTGATAACTACTTCTCTTTTTGTATTACCGTTTGCTTTGTGTAATTGGCGTGTGAAATTACAAGTCTGTGTATCAGTATCGGGTTAATACCACGTTAATTATCATGCGAGTTATTAGCCGTCGTTAGTGCGGCGCCGTTGTTATCAGTTGTACTGTGTCATCGGTCTTTCAGGCTCCCCCGGTGTTTGGTCCGGACTCCCCCGGTGTTTGATCCGGACTCCCCCGGTGTTTGGTCCGCCGCAAGTACCGTGTTTTACTCTCAAGAAGCCAACATAACTCCACCACACACTTGTGATCGTACCGGTTTATATAACATGTGAATAAGTGCCAGGTGTATGTCTTGTACAGGTCTCCATAACATGTGAGCAATAGCCAGGTGTGTGTGTGTGTGTCACATGTAATGCTTAAGATTTTCCTCAATTGCTGTTACTTACATCATGTTTTTTACTTCTCTTATTGTAAAATTGAAATAATAATGTGTGATTATCAAGGACAAAATCATTCCGAATTGTGCTTTTTGAGCCGATTGACCAGACTTGATACAATCAGGCGCTTATAATTGGGCTTGTGAATTGTTGGAACAAGTTAGGTTGGAGCACGAGTGTGTTAATAAGCCTGGCCCCGGATCTGTGTCTGCTTTCATATAATGTCTGCTTTTATATTTAAACACTAGACCCAGGACGGGCCATTAGAGGTCAGCTTGTCATACTTGTAATGACGCGCTTGTTAGCGTGGCGGGGGTCAGGGGCACTAATACTGGTCAGTTAGCTGGCCTTGTTATCTGCAGTGAGCTGGGCATTTAGCCAGCTTGGATAGCCAGTCTGAATTCTTTTAAATGCTGGTTCTTCAGGATTGGCACGAGTGAGCTTGGCATTTAGACCCGAGCCAGGATATGCGTCAAGCATTTACACAACCACATGCGAAACCTGTGCATCTTTCTTCAATCGGGGGGCTTTGTTTACATTTATTAAACAGCGTTTGAGCACGGGAGTCCTCTACGAGGTTGTTCATTGCAGTAACAGCCATGAGGTTATGAAGTTTCCAAGCTCTCAAACTGCTTAATATATGCAAGCAAAGGAACCATGATTAAGAAAAGATGTAGAGGTTTCGCAAGTGGTTCAATGATTGACGAATCCGGGCCCAGAGGGGAGGGGTCGTGGAAGGTAGACCTAAAGAATCTTTTATTTTTTTTATTATAAATGTTATAATTGCTCAACACACTTAGAAAATAACGAAGAAAATTGAACATTATTGTGCTCCATTCACTTGAAGGTACAAGTGTGATGGGCATTATAGTGATCTTATTCTCAAGAGAACTGTGTGTAGCAGGACCAAGGGCACTGTTGTGGTCAGCACACTGTTGACAAGCCAAACCAATCTGTATTGAAGCCCTGTGATGGTGTTACAATATTGTGTGTGGGAGGTATAAGAGGGTTGGAGAGGCAGGTGTGTGTGGGAGGTACAAGGGGTCGGAGAGTCAAGTGTGTGTGGGAGGTACAAGGGGGTTGGAGAGTCAGGTGTGTGTGGGAGGTACAAAGGGGTTGGATAGGCAGGTGTGTGTGGGAGGTATAAGGGGGTTGGAGAGTCAGGTGTGTGTGGGAGGTACAAGGGGGTTGGAGAGGCAGGTGTGTGTGGGAGGTACAAGGGGGTTGGAGAGGCAGGTGTGTGTGGGAGGTACAAGGGGTTGGAGAGGCAGGTGTGTGTGGGAGGTACAAGGGGTTGGAGAGGCAGGTGTGTGGGAGGTACAAGGGGTTGGAGAGGCAGGTGTGTGGGAGGTACAAGGGGTCGGAGAGTCAGGTGTGTGGGAGGTATAAGGGGTTGGAGAGGCAGGTGTGTGGGAGGTACAAGGGGTTGGAGAGGCAGGTGTGTGGGAGGTACAAGGGGTTGGAGAGGCAGGTGTGTGGGAGGAACAAGGAGTTGGATAGCCTATAGCTATGTATATGTATGTATGTATGTATGTATGTATGTACTCACCTATTTGTGCTTGCGGGGGTTGAGCTTTGGCTCTTTGGCCCCGCCTCTCAACTGTCAATCAACTGGTGTACAGATTCCTGTACACCAGTTGATTGACAGTTGAGAGGCGGGACCTCTCAATGTATGTATGTATATATGTATGTATCTGAAAACTCACACCCCAGAAGTGACTCGAACCCATACTCCCAGAAGCAACGCAACTGGTATGTACAAGACGCCTTAATCCACTTGACCATCACGACCGGACATATTGTCCTGGGGGACCATTCAGGCTTGTTCGCATATGTATGTATGTATGTATGTATGTATGTATGTATGTATGTATGTATGTATGTATGTATGTATGTATGTATGTGACCTGGACGGCCTGTGTGTGATATATATATAGCGGCAGCGTGACTGATAAAAGGCCAAGATATCTTATCACTTGATGGACGATTGCGTGTCGGCAAGTGGCGTCGGTTCAGGACGCTGAGGTACGTAAGACTGTAAATCAGGTGAGGATTGGCACGGGAGGCCCTTCCTAGTCGCGCGTTTGGCGTTCAGGGGTGGATAAATGCTGAATTATTTCATGCAAAGCCTGCATGACCAACCGGGCTGTAGTGGATATGTGGGCCGACGGGGACACGTCCTCAGACGACACGTCTCGGACCACGTCTGCAGGCGTCTCATGGCCTTATCTGGGCCATTATGACTGATATTCTGAAAAATAAATTTGTATGGTTATTTAGGTAATAGGCAGGGGTGCAGTGCCAGTTTTATAGGTGGCAGAGCTCTGGTGGACCTGACAAAACCCACCATTTTCTATCCTGTTTCTATATATGTCTGTCGATTAAGTATTTCGTGTTTGTACTCACTAATTATCATAAAAGATAATTATCAAACAAAGAAAAAAACATCAAATACGAATTTTTCAATTTAAGAAGTTAAATTTAATTTTATTTATTTATTTATTTATTTATTTATATATATACAAGAGTTTTTACATTCTTGGACTTACATTCTTGTACAGAAAACACTTAGTGTTCACAAAATACAACCAGTGAGAAGTTTCACAATATTTTTGTGATTAATAATAATCACTTATTATTAAGTGATTAATAATAATCACTTATTATTAAGTGATTAATAATAATCACTTAATTATTATAATTAGTGATTACATTAATTACTGTAATTAATGTAATTAATTACATTAATTAATTACTAATTAATTACTAATTACAATAGTCTCCACAAAGGATCAGGTGTGAGATGTTTACAGGTATATATAGGTGTCAGGTGTTACTTTTCTGAAGTAATTCTTGTCCCGGTGTCATCTGCCAATCTGTGGCACCGCAGCCATGATATGACACATGGCTCAGGGTGCCACTGAACTAGAGGAGGTGCATGTAGCTTAACACACATAAGTGCTGATACGTGATTTATGAGAATTCTTGAGTGTTGTTATCAGGTTCATGTGAGTGAATCCCTTCTCCCACTCAGCAGTACTAATAGGAATAACTTGTAAACAGCTCAGTAATGGGTGTAAATCTTGGGAGATGCGGCGTCCATGATCCTCCACACAGTCTCTAAAGGCAGTTAGTGCAGAGTAAGAAGAAAGTTTAAACCTCTTACAGAGTGATAATATTTCAGTAATATAAAATGACAATATTTTAATAAAAAAATCAAATATTGTATTTTATTCCTCTCCCCCTTTTCCCCCATTCCATCATCCACGTGCAGAGGTGCCAGAGGGGCCCACCGGCGAGCTCCGGCACCTCTGCACTGCTGGTAACAGGAACCAAAAACACAGATTTTAGTTTACCTGTGGTCGATTTCGAGAGTGATTTTCCATCGCACCCAGTAGGGTTGGAGGTGGGCCTCTCTGACGATAGCTTGGTCTATAAGGCCGTTTTGTGTTTGCAGCCGCCGCTTATCCTCACAGACATTGCAACATCAAGGTAACCTCAAGGTAACCTCAAGGT